ACACCCATATTTTTGACTGTAGAGGAAGTAACACTACATCCGTCTAGTTGCAAATTTAATCCAAGAGATTCTGTGTACTGTTTTTTTGGTCCAATAAGTAATATCTCTGTCTTATCCGAATTTAATAGGAGAAAATTATTGGTCATCCAATCTTTTACATTTTTAACACACTCTGTTAGCTTAGATAATTTAGAAGTTTCATCTGGTCTTGTTGAGATATATAGTTGAGTATCATCGGCATAACAGTGGAAACTAATCCCGTATTTTTTAATAATATTACCAAGGGGCAACATGTATATCGAAAATAGCAGAGGACCTAGGACAGATCCTTGTGGCACTCCATATTTTACTGGTGATAATTGAGATGACTCCCCATTTAAATGAACAAGGTGGTAGCGATCGGACAGGTAGGATCTAAACCATCTTAAAGCCTGCCCTTGAATACCTGTATAGTTTTGTAATCGATCTATGAGTATGTCATGATCTATAGTATCAAACGCAGCACTAAGATCAAGTAAAACTAGCAATGAGATACAGCCTTGGCCTGACGCAAGAAGCAAGTCATTTGTAATTTTAACAAGTGCAGTTTCTGTGCTATGGTGGGGCCTGAAACCTGACTGAAATTCTTTATAGAGATCATTTTTTTGCAGGAAGGAGCACAATCGAGCAGACACAACTTTTTCTAAAATTTATTTTTTTTACCTTTTTCTAAAAGGTACGCGTTTTATTAGTCTGTTTTATTAATGTGGCTATTCGAGATGCTTGTATGTCGTTAAGTAGTTTTTTGACTTTTATTTGGGATCTTTACCCTGTGTTTCAGTGGCTTCCACCCTTCGAGACCTTTTCTCAGGGACCCACGCTGCAGTTCACTTTGCGATGGACCAATGACACGGCTGACAGGGGAACGGCACCAGTGGCCAAACCGCTTGCCACACGCAATTCTGAATCCAGCACAGTAGACAGCGGCAAGCCTAGCAATGTGAAGCCGCCACATGCAGTAGGTAAGATCACCAGCACTGGTTAGTGATTACAAGTGAAGATCACTAACTTTTTGGTCTTTAAAGCATAACAATTTGTGTGCAGTACCGAGGATAATGGTCATAACAATGACGTTTTATTGATTGCAGCTGTTAGTGAATCAGTTGGCGCTGATCTACCAGTTAGAAGAGAACAAACTCATGTCGAACCTCGTCAGAAACTACGTGTTTATTATCAGGTGAGTAATAACAAATGACAGAGTGGGATCTATATACAATGAATAAACTCCATGAAATTAGTCCCAATGTTGGAAAAGGAATTTTCTATAAATTTTCTAACCGATGGGACCAGATTGTTTATACCCGCTGTAGAATTGTTCATTCCAGGATGACACAAGTTTTTAATACTAGGGGAAGATCCTCGGTGTTCTGTCTGCCGAAGCCCTTTATCCATTAAGCATGTTTTATTAGATTGTGCTGGTTTTAACTCATTGAGAACATTTTTTTTTTTATTCCGTTAACTCTTTTGAAGATATTTTTTTATCTAGTTAAGCCAAATACAGATTTGGAGTTTTTAGCAAAAATAATTTCTAAAAACATGATATATTATAGCCATAATATTTCTTGCCATGAAAATAGCCACAGAAGCTGGAATGGCATTAAACACAAACAAACAAATTATCAGGTGAGTAACATGCATCTGCAAATTTATCTGACAATACCAAACCACACTGTACACACAACACAGCACTTATCAGTGATCACAGGCCTTTAAATTGACTGTCAAAAGGGCAGGGAGTTTCCTGTGATTCTCTACATCTTTCCACTGTAGATTCTGTTGTATCGTATCACCATGAGAGCACTGGAGTCCATAAGTCCTGCCTTGACATTTTGCTCTGACCCATTGTTGGTCTTGTATGGTGGGCTGCTGTGTGGTCATGGTCTCTTGTGTCCATCCCCTTGTTTTGTAGTTCCTGTATAACAATAACGCACGGCAGCAGACGGAGGCCAGAGATGACCTGCACTGTCCCTGGTGCACGTTGAACTGCCGTAAGCTCTACAGCCTCCTCAAGCACCTCAAGCTCTCCCACAGCCGCTTCATCTTCAACTATGTGGTAAGAAGTATCTCAAGGTTTTGAAACTGTCACCAGACCACATGGATTACGTAGTCATAATAAGTGTAATGCCACAGTGTTTACACTTGTGGGAATCGATCTGTGAATGCCTTTTAGTTGAGCTGGGTTAAACATTCATAACCACTTGCAGAGCAACAAAAATACAGTCCATGTTTGGTAGAAATGTTTATAGTGATGAAGTCATTTTTATCTCACCCAGCCTCATCCTAAAGGAGCCAGGATAGATGTGTCGATTAATGAATGCTATGACGGCTCTTACGTGGGCAACCCTCAGGACATCCACTGCCAGCCTGGCTTTGCCTTCAGCCGTAACGGCCCAGTGAAGAGGACTCCAGTTACACACTTCCTTGTCTGCAGGTCTGTGTGGGTTGAAAGTGAAAGAAAGACTGGAAGTATCCAAATTAAAAAATGGTTGCATCTGAGTAAAAAGTTCCACCGTTATTTTTTTATTTAAAAAAAAAAAAAATCTATTTTCTCTCTCTCTCTCTCTATTAGTGCTGTGTTCAATACATCGATACGACGATGTATCGTCACAGAGATTTGACGATACGAGTATCGATACAGCTGGCCCTGTATCGATATTGTGGCACGTGTGCAGCAGTGGACCGCGCTTAATTTGTGTTAATTTGATGTTACCAGCTCCTTGTTGAGAAAGATAATGTAGCTCTTGAGCGATTAAGCTATTTAGTTGATAAAATTGCGGGGCAACGCTAAAAAGTTTGTTCCGGAATGTCGGTGTGCGGCCGCAACATGATCTGTGTGAGTGACTGAGCGTGTGTGCGTTAGATACAGAAGACAGCGCATTAGTTTAGAACTCTTCTAATTTTTATTTTTTAAACGTAGAGAGTGTTAATTTGTGCAATGATAACCTACCAGCAATGTAAATATGATTAAAAAAAAAATATTAGAATGAGTACATTACAATATAAATTTATTAGAACGAGTACATTATTATTTATGGGCTTAAAAACAAGATGCAAAAAATCAGAATATTGTACCTGGTGGGGAGTGCCCAATGTAAACATGAAACATATGCCATTACCTATATTGTACAGTTATAGAGGCCCTTCATAATGCAGAGGTCAACTGCCTGCTCTGCCAATAGTTAGAAATGGCACTATAGTATGCAGTGTTTAATAAACAGCTGTTTTACTAAATTCTTCTGAGGTGAAATTCAGTGCAGTCCCGTATCGTGATATGTATCGTATCGTGGTCTCTGTTTTGTGATGCGTATCGTGACTTTGCTGGTGATACACAGCCCTACTCTCTATATGTATCTTTGTGTATCACAATATAGTTATAATTTAATCAGAAAGTGTGTTGGATATTGCTTTGCCATTATTTCCCTCATTAACTAGGCCAGTTATTTTATTTAGATGCTAACCAAAACAAATTGTTCATAAGAAATTGATGCAACTGGCATCAGTGGTAAAACAGCTGCTTTATATTATACAACACTTGAGTTAAAAATAAAACTCAAAACACTAGTGCATTATAAATATCAATGGATGGGCTGTGTTTGAGGTCAGTTGTAAATTGATGAATATATGCACCTTTTACCCCATATCAGTTGAATTCCACACTGACTACCTTTCAAACGTTTGAAGTCTAAACATTTCTGCAGTACATACAGTCATGCCACCCAGGCCTATCACAGACCTTGCATCCATTTCTTTGCATCTGGTGTTAAAACGCAATGTTTTGGTTTTCTCAGGCCCAAGCGCTCAAAGCCCAGCCTCTCCGAGTTCCTGGAGCCAGAGGATGGAGAACAGGAGCAGCAGCGGACATACATCAGCGGCCACAACCGCCTGTACTTCCACAGCGACAGCTGCACGCCGCTTAGACCACAGGAAATGGATGTGGACAGTGAGGACGAGACGGACCCGGCATGGCTCAGAGAGAAGACCGTTATGGTGAGGAAGCCGTCAGAAGATCAGTAACCCTTTGGTTCTGTTAACACTGAAGATCCAGAGTAGCATTTACTAGGTCAGATTGACTCTAGATGACAAATCAAAACGCAAGACAGATGGTGTGCCATTTGTGACTCAAGCCGGGCTCACACTGTGCGATTTTTAAAAGTCCTTTAGGATTGTACTTGTCAGACTGTACGAACATGATGATCATGTCACACTGTGGGATCTCAGTTGTCATTAATGTCAGACTGTACGACAGTCAAGACGCGTTAAAAACAGGTGCGCACAAGAAAACCTGTCCGGAGTTCTACATTATCAACTCATACACGTTCAGTGACCGCGAGCTGCATTGCACGCGGGGCTGTAATGTTGGCTGTCATTAAAAGTATATGAATGGCGGCAATTGCTTGTCAGACTGTACGAACATGATGATCATGTCACACTGTGGGATCTCAGTTGTCATTAATGTCAGACTGTACGACAGAAAACTTGTCCGGAGTTTTACCTTATCAACCCATACACGTTCAGTGACTGCGAGCTGCATTGCATCATTAAAAGTATATGAATGGCGGCAATACCGGCATATTTAAGAAGAATAGTGTAAGCAGCACTACACACCCACGTGAAAACAGCGGCGCAACTGGTGTTTATCATAGCAAAGGCAACGTATCATGAATTCCGTGAGCGGAGGACGGGAGCGCTGGAGTTTATGCGGTTAGAAGAAATTTCTAGCATTAATTCTGATCATGGCTTGTCTTGAAAAACGAAGACAGTTTGACGTTCGTCATAGGAGAAGTCAAGTTAACAAGTTTTAACAAGTTAAACTTTTATTTTGAGTTTGAGTTTCTTTTGTATATGAAGATGATAGTTTTTCTCAAATTAAAGTGTAAAATGCTTATGAAGTGAACATGTCCTAATGCAGTGAGATGGCAGATGCTAAAAACCGTTGTCACCATTCATTCACATAGACACTCGCAAAACACACAGACTTCATATTAATATTTGTGGACAATAGTCCATATCACAATTTGATTTATGTGTATAGATCAAATTGTG